AGACTTGTTCCCTTAAGGCCAGATAGTAAATATTTAGGTCTTGGTAAGCCAGGAGGTTTCAACCACAACTCTTGAACTCTGTTATTATAATGTGAAAGAAGCTGCAGACAATGTATAAGTGAAAGCATGGGCCCTGTTCTGACGACGTTGTATTTAATTAAAAAACAGAAGGTGGCCAGGGGCATGTGGCGTACCTTCTGTGCCATTTGCTGACCCTTGGAACCGAGCCCTGAATTCCCCAACCAAGGCAGGAGTGTCTTGTCCCAGGTAGCTTCCTGACAAATACCTGTGTAGCCTGTGTGCTTTGTCAAACATGGCTCATGCAATCACTTCAGCTGCCCACAGCCACCTCGAGATGTAAACCCTAAATAAACGGCTTGAAGGAGCAGGCTTGCCAGGGAAAGGGACCCTGAAAGGAAGAGCCCAGGCAGCTCTTTCTCAGGCAGAGAGATAAATAAATGGCTTCATCAGCAGACAGCGCTGAAGATGAATAGCCTGACGGAACAGTTGAACAGTTAGTTCACTGAGAAAGCAAGGGAGGAGAGAAGAAAGACAGATTGAATAGCAAACCAGTCTGTGAGTTCTACTGTACAGTCCTGCCCAGCTGGGCACTTTATCTTGAATTTGTTTTGCAAATTGCAGATGCCTAGCTTTGGAAGCCAAGAAAAAGAGAGAGTAGTCATCCCAGCCAAAATACTCCCAGGGATCTCTAGTAACGCACAGGACTTTGTGCTCATAGGGGAAAAGCATTAAATATCTCCCTTGTAAATTAGAGACACAGAGAGCCACTTTAAGCAGATGTATAGAACAACAAATATTCTTTAGCTATTTTTTCAATAACAAGAGAACAATACTCATTTTCAAACCTTGAGTCCCCTGTCTGTGTTTATAGCTCATAAAACAGTTTTAACAGTGACTAAATCCAATGAGCCCTCCTATCCCAACTGTCTTTCAAGGAGTTGGTGGATCCTATCGTTTGCTTTCTCTGACATGTCCAACACAACCACTTCCTACCTGTGATGAAGTCAGTGCTCCCTGACAGACAGAATCCTTGTTTCACATTGAAACAAGTAATTAACCACATCATTTCTGTTTTTGTGGCATCTTTTCAAAGATTACTCATGTGTTGACCACAATTTACTTAGATTCCTTGATGAAATTAAGATCCATTTGCCAAGCTGCACCTCTACTGTTTGAGCCTAACATTTTCTTCATGCCAACTGTTTCATTAAGTATGTATTCTGAGTCCTCAACCCTACACAAAGAATTACAGGCAAGCAAGGAAAGCTTGGGGTGTGAGAGGTGGTCTTCCACAAGGAAGAGCACATTAATTAGTTGCCCCCTGCCAACTAGTCATCCTTGAAAATATACACACAAGTAAAATTGCATAGACTCAGTGTTAAAGAGCACTGGCTGCTCTTCCAGAGGAACTGGGTTCGATTCCCAGCACCCACTTGGTGGCTCATAAGTGTCTGTAACTCCAGGTCCAGGGGATCTGACATCTTCACACCAATGCACTTCAAATGAATTTAAATAAACTACTTTTAAAGATTAACGTAGAGAATTATATGTATTCTAAAGCTGGATGTGGGAGTGTACATATGCACCACGGGTATGAAAACCTGTGAGTGCATACTAAATGGAAATGAAGAATGGGCAGGTTAGCATCAAACATTAGGGCATTATAGCAAAACAAAACAAAACCAACAACATAAATGATAGTTTGAGTTGGTTATGTTAATCAGTTGTATGTTTGTTACTTGTTACCAAATCAATCTTTGATCCCAGTTTCTCTAGAATCTTGGGTTTTCTATCATAGAAAATACAGCATCAGTGGAAATGGCATGAGTCATTATTCACAGCCACACAGCACATTCATGTACAGAGAGTGTCACTGAAGCGGAATGTCCTCCAGAGGGAAAGCTGTCTTTGCTGGGGGAGAAACAGGTGACTTCCACAGTGTTGAGTTCTCCATGGCTGAAGCTGGGGAAGCAGCAAGGCTGTGTGTGGAGTCAGAGCCAATGCATCGGAGCATATTTTTCTTTCAAAATATTTTATGTACTGAAGTTTGCACAACATCTTGGCAATGAAGGCATGTCTGTGAAGGAGGTGTCTTGCTAACATAAGGGCAGAAAATGTGACAGCAGCTAAATGTGACTTCAATCACAAACTGAAAGGAGTATAGAAGAATACTGTGGTGAGGTCTAAGAGCGACAAATTGGGAAGTGAAAAATCTCCGGAATTCCAAAGGACTTACCTCGCTCTTTCCTCCACACCAGGGCATGCCTCTCCACTCCGGGACTAGTTTCAAGTTTGGACAGCACTTGAGACTCTAAGGGAAAGGGTCCTAGGATATTTTTGGTATTGTCTAGGAGTGAAGCTAAATTTAGAGCCGTCCATCTGTTTGATTAGAGAGAGAAAGAGCTGCATTTTCTTGGCACGCACATCCTTTATAAATCTCAGAGATGGGTGTTGTTCCAGATTGCTCTGGAAATTATTTTGAAGCTCACCAGTTCTGCCAACACCAAACACACTGTCCATCTCTTTTCTCTGAGTTTTTTAAAATCATATTTTATTTATTCTTTGAAGTTTCATACATAATGCAGTGTAGCTTGGCCCTCTCTACTCACCTCTGATTCTTTTCACCGTCCCTTGGTGACTCTTGGTCACTTCATGCTCTCCTTTTCCTCTTAGTAATAACCCTCCGAGTCCAGTTAGTGCCACCTATTGTCTGTGGCTGAGGGCCCATGCATTGGAGCACGGGCAACCTACCAGTGGACGTTGGAAACTCACATGCAAGCTGAGCGGGCATCTATATGTGTCCCCTTCCAATTCCAACTGAACTGTGCATCTCTGAAAAGTTGTCAGAGAACAGCTTTCAGTGACATGCGAGGTGAGACCTGACTTATTTCCTTCAAAAGTAAAAAGATAAAAATAAAAATGCACTCTTGAAATATCAGCAGCAGCTAAGAGTAGCCGTTGTGGTAGGACTTCCTGCGAGCCAGCCATGTGACAGCACCCTCTTATTCTCACAGGGAGTGTGTGATGTCAGTACCTCAGAGTCATCATCATTGTCCCTGTTCCCATCTTACAGAAAAGGAAAGCTAATTCACTTCTGCCAGACCGCGTACCTAATAAATGCCAGACCAGGGTGTGGACTGGGGTGGACCACTCCCCAGACCCCTGCTCTGTCCGCTATGCAGCCAATCAAAGACATCAAACCAGTCCTTTACATTGTTTCCTACCCGTTTGCCTTTAAACATGAAATACATATTTTTTTTTCCTCGAGGCCTCACATAAAACTTCAGGTTATGTCTTAGAAAAGATTGTTTAGGTCCAGCGACTGCTTCCAGCACCTTCGCTTTGGGCTTGATTCCTTCCACTGCCATTTCCGATGGTTCTTACACTCCTCAGCCCTGTCTCTTTCTTCCCATCACACACTGCTTCTCTCTCTATCTGAAGAGCCCCGATCTTCCCCTTTGCCATTCTGCTAGGAACTCTCAAGAACTTGTCCTCAAGTCCACGTTCCTAGTGGCTTGCAAGACACACGGGAGAGATGGATGTAAAATGGAAAGCCGGTCACAAGAAGATGACTGTGTCAGTACATGGCTCATACGAATTTCTCTTTAGTGTCCACTGTCAGTCATGTTGCAATTGAGAAGGGACATTCTCAGTCCACTGACCTGGCGGCCAACCCTCCTCCACTCACCCCGACAGCTCCAAGGTCTCCCTCAGCTCAGACATCTCACCTGCAAAACCGAGACGAAAACAGACATCCTCACTCATTTTGGGGGCGGACTGGATAAATGTTGGAGAGCCTGGAGTACTGAAACTGTGCCTTGCGCTAAGTTTCGGCGTGTGGTTGTCCTTATGATTATGCTAGATCCCTTTGCTGTTGAAGTAGCTATTAGGGTCAAGTTTCCTATTGCACTGGGTTTCAGATTGACAGATTTCTACTCCTTTAAAAGAGCTTAGTGGCTAACATTAAAAAAAAAAACGAAATAAAGGAGAAGCTAATTCCCAAGAATGGTAATTGGCCCCTGGTATACAGGCTTCATGATGTTCCTGTTTTGATCTGCTGTAAGCACATGCTGTATGCCTAGGGAGTGAGAGTTGGGATGGATGTCTGGCCTTTGTGTGAACATGAGCTGGCACATGTATGAAGTAATCCACTTCCAAGGATCCTGCCTTTAGTGGATGAAGGTTTTCCATGCTGTACTTCTATTACATAATCTAAATTTTTTTTCACAATGTTTTGTTTGCTATGTTTTGCATTTTGTTCTTTGAGACTTCATCGCCTGAATCCCAGGCTGGACTCAAACCCATTATATATTAGAGGATGACCTTGAATTCAGACTCCTTCTGCCTTAACCTACTACGAGCTTGGGTTACAGGATTATGTCCCCATGCCCAGGCTGGTTTCGTAATTCCTAACTGTTGTACTCATGAGCATTTTCCAACCCTTGGTTAGACATGAGTCTCCAAGGAGACCGTGTTTTCTTGTCTTCCTTAGCATAGACCGCTGGAGAGTTGTGAATCTGAGGAAAGGACACACTCCTGCTGTCCAGAAAGATTATTCAACTTTTAAACCCCTGTTTGGAAAGGCCGTTTTTATTGTCGGTCAGATATAACAAATGCACATTGACTTCATAAATTGCTGTCTCTCTGTGGTGCTTTGCTTCTGAGAGGTAGAGTGCGATACTGTATATGTTCATGATAATCTTCTTTGAGGGTCCATAAACGCCTCCTGGAATGAGGAGGCTCCACCCTAAGAGTCAGATGGGAGTTTATCCAATGCCCACCATTCACCTACCTGCTCTGTTTGCCATGCTATGCAATGATTTCCTCTACGTTTCCAAAGCAATCTCCAGATGTCCAACCCATTAACCAAATTTGATCTCCAACAGGATGAAAATGTTTGGCATTGAGGCTTAACATCAGTGTGCTCCCTGCGTCTTATTTAATTCACAGTATCTCCCCTTCCCCTTTCTCTTCTGCAGGATCAACACACTGTGGTAGGCCAGAACACAGGCCCCAGTCCAAGTCCCAACTCCTGCTCAAATCCAAACACTGCAAGTGGCTACATGAACTCCCAGCAGTCTCTGTTGAATCAGCAAATGATAGGGAAGAAACAGACCCTGCAGAGGCCAGCCATGGAGCCAAAGCAACAGCTTCTCCTCCAGCAGCAGATGCTGGCTGACTCGGTAAAGTTACCTCCTTAACTTCTATGGTGTGGACTGCTTGGCCTTGGAGATATAAAGTGTCCCTTTGCCCTTCCATGACAGCAATGCGAGAAACTGAATCCCGTGCATTTAAAATGCAGGGGAGAAAACAAGCAAACAAACAGGCAGCAACAACCAAAAAGAAAACAAAACACAAAGGCTGATTTACCAGCTGCTGGGCATATGGAGTGCACAGCCCCTCGATGACTAGCCCTGCCCAGCTCAGGAATGTCTGTGGCCAGCAGGGCACTGGAATAGAGCAAATGAAATCCCAGTTGTTCCCAGCCTCCAGGGGTGGAAATAGTGAGCTGCACTTTAATCATCCAACTCCAGACTGGGTTTTAGAGGTAAACAGTTAGTTTAAAAGGGGGATTTTTAAAGACCAACATGGAGTTTCACCACCAACATTTAGCTTCCCCCACCAAAAAAAAAAAAGAAGCATCTCGGAATGGGGAACTGTTTCAAAAAAGGCATTTGTGTTCACCATATTGGCCTGACCTTTTCAGAACCACAAGGTTGTTTTCCCTCAACGCCACCCGAGTGCGAGCCTTACTTCAGTATTTATCCCCTCTTTCCTCTGTACCCTCACACATCATCACACACATCTGAGCAAACTGCACCTCTCTCTTCAAACTCCCCCGTCCAGTGAAACCAAAAAGCAAACAGTTCCGGGCTAATAGAACCGAGAAAAGAGTGGAAAAAGATTAGGAGATGCAGCTCAGCGAGAGAGTGTTAGGTCCTGGGTTCGATCCCCAGCACTGTAAGATGACAAAAGTCGACGAAACCATTTTATACTCAAGAAACTTTATAGAAATAGCCAGAAAAGTCAAGTGTTATAAACACCACGAATATTCAGTGAATATTGAAGATCATGAAGATACAAACCACAAGCAAAATAGTCCCTTTTCTATCTCGTTTCCCTAATGGAGCCCAGAATCCACTGTGAACATCAAATAAATGGGCCACTGTAACTCATGTGCTTAAGTGCTATGCTGTAAGAATTGCTAGAAATGGCTTCAGAGAAAAGATTGCATCTACTAAAGATCAGAAGGTGCAGAGGGAGTAGGGAGGAAAAATGGGGGGGGGGTTCATCCTGGCCCAGAGACCCAGCACAATAGGACACAATAGGACACATAGTGTCAAGGCACAGAGTGTGGTCAAGGGTAGAGAAGCGAAGGGCACAGAGGCTGGAGGAAGAGGCATGCTAAGTCACCCTGCCTTAAATGCAATTGATTAAAAAAAAAAAAAAAAAAAGTGCCCTGTTCAGATTTACATCCAACTAAATACAGAAGCCATTGGAGAGAATGCCTAGCTCCAATTTGGAAATCTGACAAATCATCTCCCAAAAAAACGAGCTGGAATTTGGCTTTGACGTGGTAAGGCTACAGTATTCTGATAGAAAGGGTAGAGTCCACCAGGTCAGGCAGAGAGCAGACGGAAGATCAAAGGAGGCAGCCCTGGTTTGTGTTTACTGGTTTTATGTAAAACTTGCAACTGTGTAGCAGTCAGGCGACAAGGTGAAGTGAGCTTGTAACTGTGTAGCAGTCACGCGTCTTTAAAGGTGACAAGGTGAAGTGAGTGCTTATGCTCCAGGTGTCTGAAGTCTGTGGTCACACCTGTTCCTTCCTCCTCCTCGACTTTTTACTTGTATAACCGGAGTAGCCTAGAAACCAGGCTGAAGAGGGGAGAATGTGCCATTTCAAACGGACTTCCTGGCAACACTTTACTATTCCCATTGACACTGCAAATTTGATTAGTTTTACAAGATGGGGTTTCCGAGTTTTCTGCTTCCATTAAAAGCCCCTGTGGAAAAGTGGCGTGCACATTCTTGGGAGCCTGGTGATGGTGCTGGCGCGGCTCCCACTGAGCCCCTGTCGCATCTCACAGGTGCAAAGGGCAGTCAGTGGCGAGATGAATGCAGAGAGGTCCGCACTTCCTGTGGTTGTCACAAAGCATTCACACTCCTCTTTGTCTGGGTGCCATCGAGGGTGCCTACGCTCTTTAGCATTTCCAGGAAGAAGCAGCCTTTGATGCCCCTTTACATTAGCATATGTTTTGTGGTCCTTCGAGGCCTTGGCGAGGCCAGATGGGCACTTAATTGGAGGTGGTTTTTCCTTAAGTTTGTTAGTCTCACTCTCTACCATTCTCCCACCAGTGAAACACAAGAAAGGAGGGATGGGTAAGCAGTTCCTACACTGATCATCATTGCTAACACGTATTAGACGACAGGCGCCATGCTGACGTTTTGCAGAACAAAAGGATCCATTCGTCCTTACACTAGGAGTGTGAAAGAGAGCATAGAACCTCCCAGATCCTTTATGGCTAAGGAAACCAAAGCAAGATGGATAGTGCGGAAGCTAGAGAGATTGACCACAATGAAATTCATTTCATTTCACACAGAGGTGAATTCAATGAGGCAATGTGCGTTTACATGGGTGCCTTCTTGCAGCTCCCTCCATTCCGTGCTGGGGGCCACTGTCTTGTCACACTACAAGGCTAAGTTACATCTGCAGGCGAGGCTCTCTGATCCGATTCACTTGGGTTTTCAGAGACGTGTATGCTCAGATTTTCAACAAATCAACTGATCTGTTGGAGAGAGAAAAGGCCGACTGCTTAAGATGTATTAAGTAAATCTGTATTTGAAGTATAGTGTGTGAATAGGAGCCAAAGGAACGAATTTTTACACACACACACACACAGGCACACACTATCACCATACAAACAGTAGTAACACCTACTTATACATGATAAATGCTTCTTGGAAAAGAGATTTCACAAAGTCCCATTCTTGGCTTCAAAATCAAAACTGTCAGTTTACACGAGTGTTTACAATAGGGTTGCTTGCTCCCAACCACACTGGGTTGTTGAAGTCCCCAGGCTCTTTGTTAAACAGTTAGGGTTTGGGCAATGCACACCCCCCAAAAAAAAAAATAAAAGAGTTTCACTGACCAGTTTTCCCCTTAATTTGTAAACCCATGTATAAAAGAAGAAATGTAATCCATATGTTTCTGATTCATTTACGCTTAGCTCATCAAAATTACGTTTTATATGAATTACTTGGTGTTCAAAAACACTCTAGGAGTCTTTCAAGTTTGTTTCTTCTCAGAAACAAGAACTAAATTTGGTTTGTTGTTATTTTAAGGCCCTTCCCTGCCCCTTTTAGAGAACACACATCCCACTAGGAAATTTCAGAGCTGAGAGAAGCTGTGAGTTTGAGTGCTGCAAACACAAACTTGGCTCCAACTAATGGCCTCATCTGTCTGCTACAGTTGTCTATGTATTGACGTTCCTATAATTACAGCCTTCTGTCTCTACCTGTGCCGATTATCTTATCTTTAGAAATGGATATTGCTTTCAAATGTATACAGAATTACATTGAAGCAATGCCAGGAACTTTCCAAAGAAAGAAGGAAAGAGTCCCTATCCCAAGCTGGTAGGAAGGGCCGTGCCTGTATAACATAAAGTCTTACCACATGCCCACGTCAGACAGGGCTATTCTGCTGTCATGATTAACTAGTAGCAAATAGGCCACTTTGTAATCTTATCTAAAAACAAAAAGGTCACTATGGGGTCCCAGTGCTAACTGTTACCCTCTCCAGCTAGTGGGTAACAGTTACTCTTTCATCCTGGACAATACTCTCCTTCCCTAGGTCTCCCAGGCTCTTGTAGCCCTCCTGAGACAGTTGGGGCTCCTCATGGCTCCTTGCTGCTGTGAGTAATGACAGCTGTGGGGTTGTCCCTGAAGGCTGGCCAAGGCATTGGCCACAGTAAATGGATGTCCTTGTTTCTTCTTTCACCACCCAGACTCCTCTACTAAAAGAATATAAAGGTGGCTGGTTCTGGCACATTCTGTGCTTTTTAAACAGGACACTGAGGTCTTTGTACAGAGTGGCGTGAAGGACCCTGAGTTCCTGAGGCTGGATTTGGTATCTGTTGCATTACTGCGTGACTTTGGCCAAGTTACTTAGCCTCATGAAGTTCGCGTGTCTTCTTTTAAATGAGAGTAATCACGGTTCCCTTCAAAGAGTTGTTAAGAGCAGGCAGAAGAGACGTGCTGTGCGTACTGTGCCGGCACCAGTACCTGGAGGTTAGTGAGTCTCTCGGTGTCTCTTCCATGGAGAAGCAGAAGAGCTCCCAAATCAAATTACAGAGAGCCCAGGTGTTCTCCGTCCTATCTGGCAAACAGTTTTCCAAAGTCTTTGACACCAGAGTTACATACGGATGCCAAAGCTCCTCAGACATGGTACAACGTAAAACAAGAAGTACTATTACCAAACCCACACACATTTAGTTATAATTGAAATCTAATCACAAAATGAAGGAGAGGAGCATGCTCAGTAGAGACAAAGCAGGGGCTGAGATCTATGAAGGAGCAGAGATGACACTTCCAATAGGAAGTGGTTCAGATGGAAAGATGTGTCTCTGGATCTACACTGCCAAATAAGTCACGTACTGGAGCCCACGGTGAGAAGTAGTCCAGTTGGCTTGACACAAGTTCTCACTCTATTGCCCACGCTGGTTTCAAACTTGTGAACACCATACAACATCACCCAACTCAGTGTTTTCTTTTGTGTTTTCAAGGGGAAAACTTCCCCTCAGGATCAGATGAACCGACATCTGACAAGGCCGCCCCCGGATTACAAAGACCAAAGAAGAAATTCAGGCAGCCTGCAGCCAGCTGCTCAGTATTCTGGTAAGAGTTCTTCAACTGTGAAAAGGGGAAACTATCTATTTCTACCGTTTCTCTCGCCACCTCGGATGGTACATCGTCCCAAAACTTTCACTAACTCTCGCTTAGCCTCCAGATCCAAGCCACATTGAGATCAGCATTATGGCTCACACTATAATCCCAGCACTCCTGAGGTAGGAGGAGCCCTGTGAGTTCAAGTCCAGCACGAGCTACACAGAAATTCCAGGCTAGCCCAGATTATAGTGTGAGAGTCCATCGTTATCCCTTTATCCTCAAAAAGACCACACGAGGCCTTTCCTGTGCTCTTGCTTGTCCATACTCTGTGCTCACATGTCCTCACATGTCCTCACATGTCCCCACATGTCCTCACATGTCCTCACATGTCCTCACATGTCCCCACATGTCCTCACATGTCCTCACATGTCCTCACTCTCCTCACATGTCCTCACATGTCCCCACATGTTCTCACATGTCCTCACTCTCCTCACATGTCCTCACATGTCCTCACATGTCCTCACATGTCCTCACATGTCCTCACATGTTCCCTACTCTCCTCACATGTCCTCACATGTCCTCACATGTCCTCACTCTCCTCACATGTCCTCACATGTCCTCACATGTCCTCACATGTCCTCACATGTCCTCAAATGTCCTCACATGTCCTCACTCTCCTCACATGTCCCCACATGTCCCCACATGTCCTCACATGTCCTCACATGTCCTCACTCTCCTCACATGTCCTCACATGTCCTCACATGTCCTCACATGTCCTCACATGTCCTCACATGTCCTCACATGTCCTCACTCTCCTCACATGTCCTCACATGTCCTCACATGTCCTCACATGTCCTCACATGTCCTCACTCTCCTCACATGTCCTCACTCTCCTCACATGTCCTCACTCTCCTCACATGTCCTCACTCTCCTCACATGTCCTCACATGTCCTCACATGTCCTCACATGTCCTCACTCTCCTCACATGTCCTCACTCTCCTCACATGTCCTCACTCTCCTCACATGTCCTCACTCTCCTCACATGTCCTCACATGTCCTCACATGTCCTCACATGTCCTCACTCTCCTCACATGTCCTCACTCTCCTCACATGTCCTCACTCTCCTCACATGTCCTCACTCTCCTCACATGTCCTCACATGTCCTCACATGTCCTCACATGTCCTCACTCTCCTCACATGTCCTCACTCTCCTCACATGTCCTCACATGTCCTCACATGTCCTCACTCTCCTCACATGTCCTCACATGTCCTCACATGTCCTCACTCTCCTCACATGTCCTCACTCTCCTCACATGTCCTCACATGTCCTCACTCTCCTCACATGTCCTCACTCTCCTCACATGTCCTCACATGTCCTCACATGTCCTCACTCTCCTCACATGTCCTCACATGTCCCCACATGTCCTCACATGTTCCCCACTCTCCTCACATGTCCTCACATGTCCTCACATGTCCTCACTCTCCTCACATGTCCTCACATGTCCTCACATGTCCTCACATGTCCTCACATGTTCACTACTCTCCTCACATGTCCTCACATGTCCTCACATGTTCACTACTCTCCTCACATGTCCTCACATGTCCTCACATGTCCTCACATGTTCACTACTCTCCTCACATGTCCTCACATGTCCTCACATGTCCTCACATGTTCCCCACTCTCCTCACATGTTCATTAAATCATTCAAACACCAAATCTGTCAGCTGCTAGAGCTGGAAAACAACTGTAAACAAAGCCAGGGCAATGCCTGCCCTTGAGGAATGTGTGGCCTAAGGACCCCCTTCCCTCCATTTTTACCTCTCGAGCTGATTTCTCAAGGCGACTGCAGCCTTACCGAGCCAGGGATATTTCAGTGCATCTCTCAGTCACTGTCGGTTGCATGGAGCCATCTTATTCAGCAGCTTGGGACCCAGTTATTGCCCCCCATTCCATCAATTATTGACAGGCATAGTTTAACTGGCAGCTCTTTCGAGGCTCAGTGGTCTGCCTCGGTGCAGAAGAATCAAATAGAAAGGGCCTCCTCCACAGAGACGAGAGTAGGATATTAGGAAAAGCGTCAAAGGAGAGCTTCAGCTTGACCCTGAAGAAAATAGGAGGCGCGAGGGGCTGGGGGTCATCATGGAGTGAGAGACAGATGAGCAAAGGTGGCTGGCAGAGTATTCGATAGAAGGGCAGCAGTAGGTATGCACCCACCACCAGGGTTCCCACATGGAAATAATCACCAGAGCACAGATTTCATCAAATTCCAGATTCTTGAAGAGAGGAGACTTCCCTTGCCCTTTGGATGCAGGGGACCATTCATAGCAGCTTCTCGGCTGAGGATGATGCACATAAGGAGTGAGAGATGATTTTCCAGGCCACAGGTCACGAGTAGTAGTGTAGTAGCCGTGAATAGGATTTATCTCCTGCTTTCTCATGTGGACCCTGGGGTGAATTTCATGACAGCTACCTAATCGAAGTTGTAGTCTTCAGACATGGAGCACAACAAAAATAATTCAAAATGAAAGATTATCACCTTGATGACTTCCGGAGACAAATAAAATAAAAACTAGAAAATAGGACCTTTCTATTTGGGTCTTCGTTCTGTGATGTGCAGGCTCTTAACCAAGGAGGAGTGGCCTAGGGAGATGGTTCTCTCCAAAATCTCTTCTGCTCTTTTTACGGAGTATGTCTCATGTGTTACTTGTCTAATGATAAGTTCTTGCAAGTTGGGACAGGAGATGCCATACTATCGTAAACAAATATGATTCTCTTCTCCGTCTTAGGTGGCTCCTCTGCCGTGAACTTAAACTCTAACCAAGCATTGACAAATCCAGTCTCAACGCACACCATTTTAACTCCAAATTCCAGCCTCATGTCTACAACCCACGGGATGAGAACGCCACTGCTATCCACAGCAGTTCAGAACATGGGGATGTATGGAAACCTGCCCTGTAACCAGCCTGGCACCTACAGCGTCACCTCAGCAGTGAATCAGCTGACCCAACAGAGAAACACAACCCAACTGATAACAAATCAGAACAACCCTCTGATGCCGCGGCAGTCTGCCTTAGGGGCAAATAACGGAAACAACGCGGCGACCTTTGGAGCTGGATCTGTTGGCAGTTCACAACAACTAAGACCAAATCTGGCCCACAGTTTGGCAGGCATGCCAGCCCAGAGGTCATCAACTGTCATGATCACATCCAACACGACAGCAACAAGCTGGGCTTCTCAGGATGTAACAGTGAAACAACAGGAAGCCCTCAAATCCACAGGCGTGCGCTTCCCAGCGGGTACACCGGCAGCCTACACCCCAAACCAGTCAGTGCAGCCAGGGGTTGGGAGCCAGCCATTTCCCCAGAGGGCAGTGGCGCCCCCTAGCCAATTAACGCCAGCAGTGCAAATGAGACCGATGAACCACATGAATCAGACATTAAATGGGCAAACGCTGGGTCCACTCAGGGGTTTGAACCTCAGATCTAACCAGCTGAACTCACAGAGTCTAGCTAATATGAATCCGTCAGGAGCAGGATTGAATCAGCAGCGCACAGGCACCAACCAGCCACCATCCCTGACGCCCAACACTTTTCCTTCATCCAACCAAAGTACCAGGGCTTTTCAAGCAACCGACCACAGCAGCGATTTAGCTTTTGACTTCCTCAGCCAACAGACTGACAGCATGGGCCCTGCCCTAAACAGTGATGCTGATTTCATCGATTCTTTATTGAAGACAGAGCCTGGCAATGACGATTGGATGAAAGACATCAACCTGGATGAAATCCTGGGGAGCAATTCCTAAGGAGAACGGGAAGGCGCTTCGCCGGCTTCAAGCAGTATTTCCCAAGGACACTGTAACGCTAACCTGCTGACATCCGGTGGACTACAGCCATCAAAACGGAAAGCTGGCAGTAACCACAGTGATAGACATTCTGGTTCATGTGCTTGTTTTAAAAATCTCGACCCTGGCATTAAAACGCTGGGATCATTTTTCCCTGCCTGAGCATCAGGACGTGTTATCCAGTCTATCCAAACACAACTGTGATGCTGATGTGTAGTTAGTTGTGTCAAATGGTCTTCCCAAGTTCCTTTTCTCGGTGAAGGACGGAACTTGAGGCTTGTTGCAATCCCATATCATAGACAGGCAGAGACTGGCATCTGCTCTAGTAGATAAGTATGCTTTGATTTCTCTACTATCTTTCTATTTACTTTTCCTAAAACTTGCAGGAAAGATGTTACACGGTGGTTTGGAGTAAGTAAGAGAGAAGCGGAGAACCCAGCAGCCATCCACTGATTATAGCATCTCTTTCCCAGATGCACCCCTCACTTTTGTAATTTTCCCATGTGTTTTGTATTTTGGTAGGCTGCTGTGTCTTGTGATAAAACAGGAACGCAGGGCTTACAACTTGAATGGGGCTTCCCTACCGATTTTTATAGATAACCAAAACTTGTCCAGATCACACTGAAATAGCAGTGCACAACTCTGCCTGCACAAAATTTCACGTTTAAAAAAAAAAAAAATTGAACCTTGCCATGTAGAAGACAAACATGGCCACAAATAACCCCGTGTGTTCTAGCTGTGACTGATGCCACTGGTTTGTTCCCAAGCATAATGAAATTGAGCCCTGTCCTCCTAGTTTGTAGAAAATGAAAGTTTGGGTTAGAGTGAGGTTGGAGAGTGTCCTGTGTTGAGTGGAGATAAGGAACAGGAGAAGGGGAATTGAGCCTTCCGTGGACATAGTCCTTGGCCTTGGGTGAACAGCTGAGCCCAGTGTGGTTAGTAGGTAGTACCACTCACTCTATTCATGATACAGTGACCCTGGCCTGTGGTGCTTGGGCCCCTCTTACCCAGGGCTCCCCTCAGGGCTGAGTGTGTGGTAAAGCATAGGTAACGTTGTTGTTGTTGTTGGGTCACTGAACCTCAGTGCCCACATCTCTGTCCCAAAGTGGAGGAGGTGTGCAGGTTCCAGTTGGTTCTAAAATACCACTACCACTGTCCTACACCCAGAGAATCAAAAGCTACTCTCAACCTTTGAGTTGTATGTTTACATACCTCGCTGTCAGGTGTGACTGAAATCAAGTCTTTTGAAGCATGAAAGCTTCACAAATCTGTTCAGAAAAGGAACACGGTTTCAAAGCCCCTTCTGGTCTCTGCCACCTTCCCGCCGCACCAATCTCGCTGGCCCAGAATCTTTCCTGCGCTGATTTGTAAATATTAATAAATTGCTTGTTTTGTAAACTTTTGTAAAGAATATTTTGGTAGAAATACTTAAAACATATTCTTTGGATTATATTTATACATATGTGAAATAAATACACTATTGAAAGGTTATATTTTATACAAAAAGTAAATTGTTACCTTTTGTATGCTAATATACAAAGTTTTGTATAATATGATGGTTTATTTTTAGCTCTATGCTTAAACCATAGGTAATGGAATGGAAACTTTTAAAAACTACCAAGCGGCTTGTTCGAAGGATTTATATTCTGAACCTCCCTATGAAAGCATTCCAGGTTCCCAACCCTCCCTGTTGTTGGTGTGTTTTCCAGCTCTGAATTCTTTGTTAAGCCCATAGTTCTTGTGTCTTATTTGATTATTCTACTGTGCATATTGTATCAGTCCCTGTAGCAGGTGTCGTACTGAATGTTTTCCCATTATACGAAACAATGTTTTTCCATGCAGAGAGAGAGGAAAAGCGATGTGCACATACACACGCTGGTTTTGCAGCTCCTTCAGACTACTGCACGCAGCTGCAGGATTTCTCTGTCGCAGCACCCGTAATTCAGTTTGTTTGCACCCTGACACAAATAGGACATTTTGTAGCAGCCATCCAGCTGTTCAACTGAGGAGGCAAAGCAAACAGAATGGCTGGCTTTTCTTCTATATTAATGTGAATTTCATAATTAATGTATATTTATTCAGCTACTCATTAAAATGCAGGATTCTTTGGGGGAGGATGGTGTAATCTAGAGTTCCTGTTTGTTGGCAGCCTATTACCAAAGATGACGTAATTTTCCTGAAAGCTGAGATAATGACAATTTGATAGGCAAACTTAGCAAGAGCCTCAGGATTTACAGCGTAAGAGCTATTGGGATACAAGCACCCATTTATAGAAAGGCCAGACTACTTAATCGCTGACATTGCTTATCATTCTGACATATAGCAGAGAAGGTAGGAGTCGTTTCTCTTTCTTTTTTTAAATTCAGAGACAAGAAAGTAATGTAGGCAAAGAATTCCTTCTTGGCTTTGTGTTGGGCTCAGTGAGTGAGATCACCAAGTGAAATAAATGCTGGCATTAGCTGCATTGCTGTCCTGAATCCACGAATGTAAAGATTTCAATTTGTAACACAAGCATTTTGTATTGTGTGTAATTCCATGTGTAAAAAAAAAAAAATAGAAAAATCCAGAAGTGGTTTTCTTGTATGAAGTCATACTGTAGGTCTCCAATGATATCACTGTAGCATTACAGTCAGGATAATGTTAATAGCAATGGCTACATGTACACAAATGACTCTTTTTAAAAGATTTATTTTGTACTTTTTAATTACGTGTGTGTGTGTGTGTGTGTGTGTGTGTGTGTGTGTGTGTGTGTGTGTGTGCTGGTGCCTGCCAAGGCTAGAGGATGCTCTGGAGATGGAGTCATGAGCCACCTGATGCAGGATGTGAACCCAGGTCCTGTGAAAGAGCAGTGAGTACCACTCTAAGCTGCCCAGCCATCTCTCCAGCACCCATGAAATTGTACTGTGCAGGGACTTTCACTCGGTAGTGAAATGCAGACTCCTTCCTTTCCAGGGTTGCTCCATCCATATAAAATATGATTGGTGTTCTCCAAGCCAGTGAGGAATCCTGTCTTTAAAAATGTGAATAGTGAATATCTTAGGTCTCTCTCTCTCACACACACACACACACACATACACACACACGTCAACATGTACATACATACATGCAAATACACATATACGATCATACACAAAAATAAAATCTTAAAATTTTAAATGCATAATACCCACAAAATGCTGGGGATACAGTGACTAATCTTTAGGCACTGTGGTCATTTGTGTGGCCTGACATGTGGCATTTGGTCACAGGCTGTATGAACACAGCTCAGTAAACACACTTGACTGTATATGTTACACAGCTTTCTGCAGAACCTAGGTGGCTAAAAAACAGGAACTACCCTCATTTCACCTGCCCTACTAATCATGCCGGTCGGGTCCATGTCCTGTCCCCACATCAGAAGTGGGAGCATATAACACAACTATTTTTACTAGCTTTATCAATGGAACCACAGCGAGGCTGATATTTCATGTGGCCTTGTCCCAAAGAATCTGGAAGACTCGATGGAAAACAAAGTCAGGACCAATCAGAATGGGTAATAGCCATCTTGTGGTGCAGTCCCAGCACTCGGGAGGCAGAGGCAGGCGGATCTCTGTGAGTTCGAAACCATCCTGGTCTACAGAGTGAGTTCCAAGACAGCCAGGGCTACATAGTGAGACCCTGTCTCAAGAAAAATAACAATAATAGTATCAGCATACATGAGGAGAAAGAAATACACCACCCAGCACTTCCCTCTGACCTCCAGTCTCTAGCCTTAGGAGGGCATCTGAAGAGAGAGTGGGGTGGGGATGGGGTGGGAGGGCAGTGACAGACAGAAGGCTCTTCTTGTGATAGGAGCTAAAAAGGCAGGGACAGTTTTCCATCATCATGTCCACAATGGCCACTGTATACTTATGTGACTGTGTTTCATCACCCAAGAAAGTTGGCATCGCTGAGATTGAGTCAAAACAACCCTACCCTAGAACTCCCTACCCTAGAACCCTACCCTAGAACCCTACCCTAGAACTCCCTACCCTGGAACCCCCTACCCTAGAACCCCCTACCCTGGAACCCCCTACCCTGGAACCCTACCCTAGAACCCCCTACCCTGGAACCCTGCCCTAGAACCCCTACCCTAGAACCCCCACCCTAGAACTCCCTACCCTAGAACTCCCTACCCTAGAACTCCCTGCCCTAGAACTCCCTGCCCTAGAACCCCTACCCTAGAACTCCCTACCCTAGAACTCCCTGCCCTAGAACCCCCACCCTAGAACCCCCCACCCTAGAACTCCCTACCCTGGAACCCTACCCTAGAACCCCCTACCCTGGAACCCTACCCTAGAACCCCTACCCCAGAACTCCCTACCCTGGAACCCCCTACCCTAGAACCCCCTACCCTGGAACCCCCTACCCTAGAATTCCCTACCCTAGAACTCCCTACCCTAAACCCCCTGCCCTAGAACTCCCTGCCCTAGAACCCCTACCCTAGAACCCCTACCCTAGAACCCCCCTACCCTAGAACTCCCCACCCTAGAACCCCTACCCTAGAACCCCCTACCCTAGAACTCCCTACCCTAGAACTCCCTACCCTAGAACTCCCTACCCTAAACCCCTACCCTAGAACCCCCTACCCTAGAACCCCCTACCCTAGAACTCCCTACCCTAGAACCCCCTACCCTAGAACTCCCTACCCTAGAACTCCGTGGCTTGTTATTTCACAAAACTAAAAGACTCGGGAGCATCCTTTTTAAGATGAAGAAATCATTTGTCAGTCAACTTCATGCAACACAGCAACCATCTCCTTTAATGTTGAGTCACAGGCAAGAATGCATCACAAAGGGGCCAGATTGAGGCCTCCGACAAACAGGAAGGCTATGCTGAAGCCCACACCACTGACCACGCCCCAAGGAGTGTGTGTGAGTAGGCACTCGATGGCCATTGTCCTATGATGTTACAGAGTCTATTAAAGGAAGCCTGCCTGGCAGGGAGGAGAGAAACACTACTTCGTGCGTCTGTCATCACTCTGACAATACACCCAGAGAAGCACCTTAAGGAAGAAAGTGCTCACTCACAGGGTCAGAGGTTTCCATCTCTGAGGATGGGCGTGAGCTCATATATGGCAGCCAGGCAGCATGGGGGGGGGGGCAGTGTTTCCCCTTGCCCTCTTACTCCTCCCAAGCCCAGCCTTTAGGATGAGTATGCCTCCTGGTTTATTCCATCTTGAACATCCTCACCCAGAGGAGAGCTTTGCTAATGTCCTAGGTGCTTCTCAGTCCAGTCTATGTGACAATCATACATTTGCCAACACATCCTTAGTGGGAAACTCCACAAATACTAATACATGTTAAATAGTAACAAATGTTTATGAAGTTTAAACAATTATGTAAAATATTTCATTTTTCTATTCCATTCCCTCTATTCTGTTCCAAGCCTGTAGCCCAGTTAGGTCCTGAACTCACTATGTAGCAGAGGACGAAATTTAAACTTTGATCTTTTGGGTTCCATCTTAAAAATGCTGGGATTACAGGCATGCTCCACTATACTTAGTTTTTTGTTGTTGTTGTTGTTGTTATGGGTTTTTTTTGTTTGTTTTTTATTTTTGTGTTGGGGATTAAACCATGAGCCTTGTGCATGCTAGACAAAGATTCTATCAACTGAGGAACATTCCCAGCCCTTTGGGGGTTTGAGTAAAACAAACAAACAAAAAACTTGCAAGTATCATTCCTAAGTTCCTCAGTAGACCATGTATGGGAAGTACTTTGGACCCAGTCTGATTCAAAGTATTGATATATCTAACGCCCTGAACTATGAATATCGAGAAAGCTATTGACTTCAGAGTCTTGAACCAAATCCTGCCGCCCCTAGTCTGCACGCAGCAATGACAGCCGTCTTTCATTTGTGTAAGTGGTGTTTTAAGTTCCCTGTTTGGCAAATTTAAGTGCTTTTCAGTGGCAACATGTGTGTGACTACACCTCAGTGATAATCTTGGCAGCGCTGCCTCCTTCAGAATGCCACCAGAAGGAGCTCTTCTAAGTCTCTTCCCTTGCTGCGTCCACCTCCCAGTTCATGGCGTCCGGGTGAGGCTAGGTCTTCTGCCGGGCGGGGAAGAACCAGCGACCCGTGTGCAAACGATGTCTGAACACCCAATGTGACCTGTGCCTGCGGGCCTGGGGTGTGGCTTGAATGAGGCACTGAACACCTGGACCTCAGCTGCTGCCCCTGCTTGGGGGAGGATTAGGAGGCGTGGCCTTGCGTCACTGGGGGCGGGCTGTGAGGTTGAAAGCTCTCCACTCCACCGCTTCCAGTTTTCTGTCTCTGCTTCAAGCTCATGGTTGAGGATGAGCTTCGGGGTTCTGCTGCTCTGGCTGCCACGCTTCCTGCTGTGTCCACTGCAATGAACTTTCTTCTTAAAGGTGCTGTGG